TATAAATTTTACGTCATTGCGATTAAAAAGGTATGGTAATACTAATTTTTATTAAATTAATGAGTAATAATATATTTAAATTTTAAATAAATTAAATTTATATCATATATATTTGTGGAGACCCGGATGCCTGCCAAGGATAAGGACGAATGCCTTCCTTACAGCTTCTTTTGATATATTTGTAGGTACCTGTATGGATAATTGTATTCGTAAGCAACAACAATATTTTGTGAACAATATGTTTAGAAATATGTATGGTTATTCAAGGATACTATTTTTTCGTTGTCACCACATTGTGAATGATCTGAAAGCATTTGTTTGTTGTTATGCCTTAGAAAGATGGCTCTTCTTTTCTTTTGGAAAATGTTGCTTTAGATCTGCCCTAACGAGGGGCTTGCTTTTGTGCAGGAAAAATGAGTCTAAATTTTTAGGATGACCGTCGCCCTTCCCCCCAGGGAGGGTGAAGTGAATGTCTTTTGTTTCAATTTTGGGGATTTCATCTTCGTGTATTGATTGTGTAACCTTGAGGATTGGATTTGGTTGTACCAAGTTTGATTGTGTTCTAATGCTTGAATTGATCTTTTTACGAACTTTATATTGTCTTATAAATTGGTTATTGAAGATTGATTTCAACATCTTCACTTTTTATAATTATGTTGATGATGGTTATACAATGGTGCTTGATGCATATAATTTCTCTCTTATTATTTTCTCATATTCATCACTATTTCATTTACTTGCATTATTAATTAGCTTTACCTTAGTTGATAATTAGCAACAAACGACCTCTTCTCTATTGCATCAATTGTTCATTGATGTTGAATTGAATCAATCTAATAGTCCTTGTGAATGATCCCTTACTTCACTATATTGTGCGGTAGTAGTATATAAATTTAAAATTGATTTCCAAACACTGAACCACCATTAGAATTGAGTGATGATCACAAAATAAACCAGAAACGTCCATCCTCAAATAGGGATGGTAATGGGCAGTTTAGGAGAGGATCTCATTCCCCATCTCCGCTCCCGTTTAATTTTATTACCCCCAAAACTGCCACCGTATCGATTAAAATTTCACCTCCCACCCCTATAACCATCCCCACCCCATCCCCACTTGCCCCGCCCCATAACCGAATAAAGTAAGAAAGTACTAAAGTAGATTGGTAAAATAAGTGGATGCTCCTCATACAAGGCTCGGGGTAATGGATCCAAGATGAATAATTAATGGTGGTAGTTAGCAAGGTAAAGTAGGCCAAAGGTGTCACATCCCAATTTTTTATCTGATCTAATTTAATTCTTTATTCATTATTATGAGTTTATTAATATTTATTTCAGTTTACATATTTATATTTAATTGAGTTGGGAAAACAAAAATAAGAAAGTTTATTGTTTATAAACAATTAATTTCAAGTATGAGAATTGTTTAAACATGCACGGTACATGGTACTTGGAAGTATTTGGACATGTTTGTTATCTATTCATATGTATGGTATCAATTAAAGATTATTGAGGTAGTGGCAGATAAATATATCAATATATATATATATTTATAGTAAATAAAAGGGTATGTATATTGACATACATATATGATGCGTGAGTGTGATGATGTTAACAATATTTGCTGATGCCTTTTATATGTACTTAATATTTTATGTTTTCCAAGCTTTTCTTTGGAAGCTTTCAAGTTGGTGAGCTGGCTTTATACATTTCAAATTTGGTGGATAACTATTGAAACTAATAGTTGACAGCACCATGTATATATATACATATCATGGGACTTATAAAGATATGTATTTATATAGGAGCTTTCTAGTAAGCTTTGGATGAATTATTTAAGGAATAAATTAAGAAAGAGGGCATGAGTAGGCTTGGACACATGTCACACACATAATAAAAGTTCCATATATACATTATTTTACCTCTTTCGTTTTGGGGTTTCTCCGGACCGGTATGTTAAAAATTAAGGTTGTGTTGAAAAAGAAAAGAAACAGCGGGACTAGAGAAGCCGGACTAGAAAAGGAAATAAGGAAAGTGAAAGAGAGTGAGAAAAGAAGAGAGATAGAATCAGAAAGTGGGTGTTTTGTAGAAAAGGAAGGAAAATTCTCTACAATCTTTGTTGGATTCAACCTAAGGTAAGGAAATTATATTTGATGTTTAATATTTCAACTTTCCATGGATAGTCTGATTTATGAATTTTTATATAACTCATGTAATTGCCATTTATTTAATTTGATAAATTCAAGTTCTAAATTATATGAAAAAGAAAGAATTGTTAAGTAGTTTGACTTGTTGAGGTGATATATATATATATATATATATATATATATATATGGTGAGTAATCTGAAAAAAAAAAAAAAAAAAAAAAAACAAACATGCAATAAATGGATAGAAATAGATTATTGAAGTCAGAGAGGAGAATGAAAGAGAGAGAAATAAAGAGATGGAAGGAAAGTAAAAATAGTGGAAGGAAGAGGAAACAAATAAGGAAAGTTAGGGAAAAATCGTGTATGCAGTCATGAAGGTAGAAAATTTTGTAGTTTAAATTTTATTTTGAAAATTTATAGTATTTAAATTGTCAATACTTTGCTTATTGAGGTGCTCTTGAACCAAATTTCTATCATTATTTTCTTTCTTAGTTAAATGGTTAATTTATATGAAGTGATACAATTCTGACATGATTTTAATTACTGCCCTGAAATTAATCTATATGGTTATCATTAGAATTCCAATTACAATTACATACCAAGGCTGGGATTTATATTTGAATTGAGGATTAAATTGTTTAAATTTTCTTTAGAAATATATATGACATGATTATAAATGTTGTATAGGTAAGGAAAAGGAGTTCACAACTTCGACATTACCAAAGGATAAGTAGATAAGTCAGGAAGTAGCCAAGGTGAGTGTACTCACTGAAAGTTTATTCTTGGATATGCTTAATTGAAGTATTGCAATGGTTTATGTGAATTGAAGATGAATATATATATAACTTGATTATATTAAATAAGGTCCATACTCTGGCCTGGAAGGAGAGTACTACATTAAAAAAAGGTCCATACTCTGGCCAAGAAGGAGAGTACTATAATTAAATAAGGTCCATACTCTGGTGTAGAAGGAGAGTACTATATTATATAAGGTCCATACTCTGGCCTAGAAGGAGAGTACTGTATTTTAATACCTGTAATATGTTAATAAAGTTTAATTGACGTTAGCAGATAATATTTGCTTATATTACTCTGATGTAGTAGTATTGCATTCACTGGGCTTTAAGCTCATTCCTTATCAGGTTGGGGAAAAGAACTTTTGTATAAAATGTAAATATTGTAATAGAACTTAATATTATGACTTGAAGTGACTTGTTTAGTTTTTTAGAACTAGCGAGGTGGATTTATAATTTATCTTTAATTGTAAACTGTTAAGCAAGTACTCTGATGTAGGATGATGTCATGTATGAATGAGACTAATGCAGATGGTTGGATGCATTCCAATTTGTTCAATTTATTAAATAGTGTAAATTGAGTTGGGGTGTGTCAAAAGGTAAGTGGGAGGTATGTCATAATAATGTGAAATGACAGCATCATGGCCATTGAAAAATTTGATGAAGCCATGTGTTATATATAAATAACGAGAAAAGCCATTCTTTGGCTAGTAAAAAAGGTCTTGGAAGCCAGCAAGTGCAAACCCTAACATCTTCAACTTCTAAAAATCTCCATTTTAAAACCCGTTGAGTTCTTTTTACAGAGTGAATATCAGAACACCAAGAGAACGGATTACTCGTATCCATGCCTGATATATCGTAGAGACTAGGTGAATATATGAAAAGTTAGATTAGTTGACGAGTATTACTCCAGGAACTGCTGCTACCTCATATTATCCTTTTTGCTTTCTTAATTTTTGAAGAAAGTAGGTTGAACAAATGACGTATCAGATAAGAAATATAATTAGAGTTTAGGAAAGGTACCGATCTCCTAAGTCTAAGCCACCAATTTGATTATCTCTACACGAAAAGGCGAAACAACAATATCTCTGGACAAAGAGTAATATAGATGAGAAAATCTGTGTAGGTGGTCTCGAAGATGGGCTAGAGTAAAAGTCGTCAGCGCAGTCACAAGACGCAAATGAGGGGTGACCGAGTAGTGAAAAAGTAAAATCAAGAGGGGCTAGAGTTTTTAAGCTAGTTTGGTAAATAATATAACATGTCAAGGGTAAATTAGTAATTTAATAACATAATCAATGCGTATTTTAGTGTTTTGTAGTTTGTTTTAAAATTGATTGACTAATCCAGATAGGGCAATGTGTTTAGTAGATTATTAAAGATAGATATAGGTATGCAAAAAATAAATAAATAAATAAATAATAAAAAAAAAACAATAGTTTTTTTTCCCTTATTTAGATTTTATTTCTAGGCTTTACATTTTGGACTTTTGAGGATTGGGTTAGGTGATATAAATGTGGACTACTGGGCTAAGACCCACGATAAAGGATGAAATGACAGAGGAAGAAAAGATTGGGCCAGGCCAGTACAATAATATGAAAAAGAGTTGGGTGGGTGAGGAGCCCAAGACAATAATTTCCAATCCAGCAATTCTCCACCCACAAAGGGAAATACCGAGAATTTTATTATCAGAAAAAAGACGCAGAGAAGGGAAGAGAAGCGAAGGCAAGCAAGGCGAAGCGAAGTCGGAGGGTTTCGTTACTGGTACGACGCCTCTTCTTCTCCTTCTATGTGTTGATTTTTACTAAACTTTTTACATTACTGTGAAAAATTTCAAGCTATTATTCTGTTCCGTGCTAGGGTTTTCAGAAGAATTGGTTTTCAAAGAGCCTTTTTTTTTTTTTTTTTTTTGTCCTGGGTTTTCAAAATTTGTTTACTTCTTTCATTTATCGATTTAATAAAATACCCCCTGCTTTTGTTTTAGCAAATAATTGGCCTTTTTATTTTTGAATTTTGAAGATAAAAGTCTCTCTCTTGTTATTTCATTTGTATAAATAAAATGTTTCTTTCAGATGGACATCCTCAAGATGCATAGACAGTTCTGTAAACTGCCGTTGCTTGCTAAAATTTGTAATTCTCTCCCCACCTTACATTCCCTCTTTTAATTAATTGTGTCTCAATTTTCACCAATATATGCAAATAATTTTGTTTTCCTATATCAGCTATCTTTCCGGTGTCTGTAGTTACTCTGATGGGTATCGGCGCTCTGATTGCTCATGAGTATGTTTCACTCTGATGTTCAGATCTCAATTGACTAGTCATTACTCTTTATGCTAAATGAAGTTTTTGTATCTTTATTTATTTCTCAAAAAAGCCTTTGGATGATTTATGTGTCAGTTCTGTAGAGTTTTCACTAATGCATCATTGTTGCAGCTTGTATTAATATTTGTACTCATATGATGTTCAAAATTTTGTATATGGCTATATCTAAGAGTTTTGTTGGAAGAATTGTATTATTTGGTATAATGTCTTAATTTGTTTGTTTGTTTCAATTACAGGAGAAATCAACTCGTGAAATATCTCCAAAAACGGTTTGTCTTCTTCCCTTGAAACTTCAATAGATTCTTTTCTCTTTATCTATTGGTCTCACCTTGTATCAGGTGGATAGTTAAATATCTCACCTTGACGTATGCTCTTCATAATGGTCTATAAATTCCAATACTATGTCTTTGTGATGTGTTGTTTCTCTGGAGCATCTTCACTTCACACTGCACTACTTAAAAGATTGTCTCATGCATTCTCACTCATGGATCTTTGTGTTTGGGTTGGGTTGGGTTGGGTTGGGTTGTAGTTCACTTGGACTTCTAGGGTTTTGTTGTTTAGTGAGACTTGGGATACCTTGAGGTCTCTCTTTTTGTCAACCCCAGAGCACTATAATGAGAGACAAGATGTAAATTTCTTTACAGTATCTCTATTACAAATTCACCACACACCATTATCTTGTGGGCTTATGGAATTTATCACCAACAAATGCACCTGCCATCCTCAAATTCCTCCTTTACATATCTCTTTCCCTTGGAAAATTTGTGTTGGCTTTTACCTACTCTTAAATCGAGACACAGATGATAAGTGTGTGAGAATTGTAACAAGTGGCCTTGGGTTTCCGAGGGTTTGTTGTTTGTCATGGTTGTTGCCACTCTCTCTCTTATAAGGCCGTCTTGGTGTCCAATCTGGCCTAATCTACTTGAATCTCCACTATCTTAGATGTCGTATCTCCATCTCTAAGTGCTTACACTTTATTTGTGACTCCATGAGTGAGTATTCCCCATATAATGGTAGGCAAGAGTACCATGACTTTTGTGTTTGACGTCACACTGACATGTTGGTGGTGTATGTTACGCTGCTAACAATTCCTTTTAGGTCCAAGGTATGCCCCTTTCAATCATCTCTTGCTTTTCATGCATTAATTGTTGCCATTTCATTACAATGAATGCTTTACAATCAAGATTATGACAATACCAACTAAAATTTCTAATATTCCATTGAATTTTTTTAATTACACTGCCTTCATAATTTTGTATTTAATCCACCTAATTTTTTACAAAGTAGCACTTATGTGCCCCAAAGGTAAAGGAAGATTATTTTAGTGATTCGACGTGACAACTTTCACTTCACTTAATGTCTTTCGGGGTTAAGACATGCAATTATAATGTTACTTTGTCAATGTCATTGTTGATTTTGGAGATTTTGTTGTTGAACTTGTGGTCAAGTCAAGCTAAGTGGAGAACCATGCATGATGGCTATAAATTTTGAGATTTCACAAAAAAATTGCAAATGATCTGAACGTACATGTCCTAAATACTTTGTCATGTTTTTATTTGACTTGGAGCAAATTCACGAGTGTATCCCATATGATTTGAATGTTTGGAATACAATAGGAGTTCGTGAGCTTCAGTCCTCAGTAGTGCCTTTCAGGGTAAGGGTATGATTGGGAGGTGGTCAGAATCAATTTCTTCTATAGGCGTGGTAGTTTCTAGATATCTTTGAATGCCACTTTTTTAGCTCTCATCCAGAAGAAAAGGGGCTGTAGAAGTCTAGGATCTTAGACATATTAGTTTGGTGGGCAGTCTATTCAAACTAATAGCTGAAATAATAGTTGAAAACCTTGCTTTGAGATTAGGAAAGCAATGGATGGAGTGATCTCGAAAGTACAGAATACCTTTGTTGGTAGGCAACAACAAATTCTAGATTCGATTTTGATAACCAGCGAATGTGTTGATTTGATTCTCGACTGAGTAGTGGGGTATCAGGTGTGACTAATAAGCTTGGCATAGAGAAGTCTTACTACTATGTTAACTTGGGGCTTCTTGCTATACATTCTAGAGAGGATGGTTTTTGCGGGAAATGGAGGATGTGGATCAGATTTTGCATCTCTACGGTATGATTCTCAATGTTGGTGAATTGGGCACCTTCTGGATTCTTCTGTATCTCAAGGAGTCCAAGGCAGGGAGATCCTGTGTCCCCTTTGTTCATTTTTTGTGGTGTAGGCATTCAACATACTGATGAGGCAGGCCGTGGCTGTGGGATATAGTAGTGGCTTCAGGGTGGATAGAGGTCCTTCTAGTTAGATGGAGATTTCTCAAATCTCCTCTTTGTCGATGATACAATTTTATTTTGTGAGGCGAACAACGCTCACATGCGGCATCTTCGATGTGTTGTGGTTTGTTTCCAGACCATGTTGGCTCGTGTTCGTTCGGTAAGTAAATAATCCTAGATTGAATACATTTTTAGAGCTTCATATGCGAGATAGGGAATCAGTAGGCGTAGGTGTATTAGTGTGGGCTGGGATTTCTTTCCCAAATTCCATAGTAATTGCAGTAAAATGGGCTTTAAATATGTACTAAATCATACGAATATACAATATAATGGGCTTCAAATGAAATTTTGGAACTTCATAATTCAGCATATCGAAAAGCAAATCCCAAATGGATTGGTTGGATTATCCTTCTTTTTCTGCTGGAAAGGATAGGGTTTGGGGAAGATGGACGAAGTGGATCGAGTTTTGTATTTTCTCAGTGAGATTCTCGGTCCTCATGATCCATTCTTCAACGGGTTCTTCAGCAGTTAGTGGGGTTTGAGGCAAGTTAACCCTCTCTCTCCTTATTTGTTCATCATTGTAATAAAGGAGCTGAGAGTGAACAATGCCGAGCTCAGCTCGTTAATGATAAGCGCCGAATATTATATATTCAAGCGCCCTAAATTGCATTAGTAAAGTCCGTTGTATGTTAATTTATGTAGATTATCTTCATTTCTATGTTTTTATGCATTTTCAGGTCCATTTGCCAAAAAAGGAGCAAAATCAAGGCTTTGTGGAGTTTTGGCCATCAAAAGGCACAATTCTGAATTTCTGGCAGCAGTGGAGTCAGGACTTTGCTCACCATTTTGACCTTGCAAACTCGAGAACTGGACTTCCATTATAAAATGGAATATTTAGAGCTCTGAATCAGCTTTCCAAATCTTTAAGAAGTTCATCATTCGGAGCTCGGACCAGAGAGTTATGGCCTTGTTACCAGAGGTGCGCAGAACTGCCTGGCAGCAATGAAATTCTGCCTTGATCTTCATTTTTGACCAATCATCCTTGAGAATTGGATCTCCACCAAAACATTAAGTTTTTAGAGCTCTGAATTAGCTTTCCAAATCTTCAAACGGTTCATCATTTGGAGTTTAGACCACAAAGTTATGGTCGTTTTACCAAAGTAGGTCCGGGATGAGCAAACCAAGCATAGGGCATTCTGGCCAATTTTCGAGTGCTCGAGGCCTAATTTCGAGTGCTCGAAATTAGGGCAGATTGCTTCACGAGATCAGCAGTGGAGTTAGAACTTTGCTCGCCATTTTGACCCAGAAAGCTCGAGAACTGGACTTCCATCATAACATGAAAGATTTAGAGCTCTGAATTAGCTTTCTAAATCTTCAAACGGTTCATCATTCGGAGCTCGGAGCAGAGAGTTATGGCCTTGTTACCAGAGGTGCGCAGAACTGCCTGGCAGCACTGAAGTACTGCCTTTCTCCCCATTTTCGACCAACCAGACTTGAGATTTGGGTCTTCATCAAAACATGAAGTTTTTAAAGCTCTGAATCAGCTCTCCAAATCTTTAAACGGTTCGTCATTCGGAGTTCGGAGCGCAAAGTTATGGCTGTTTAACCAAAGTAGGTCTGGGCGGAGCAAGTGAAGCATGGGCATTTTTACACTAAATTCGAGCGCTCGAGGCCTTGCTTAGAGTGCTCGAATTTGGGGCAGAATTGCCTTCGGGAATTCTCATTTTGGCAGCCACTTGTGCATTGGTTTCCTCATTTTCTACTTACTTCTTTATGAGGTGGTTGGGGATGTTTTATAGAGGAGAGAGAGAGCTTTGTTGAAGGAGATAAGGCAAGGAAGGCCACACATATCATTATCCTATATTCTACAAGATAGAGGAGAGAGAAGAGAGCAAGAAGAAGAGGGTTCTTGGAGCAAAAGGAAGGGAGCTCGAAAATGGAGGAAAAGGGCAAGCTTCTTCCTTCTTCTAGCTCACTCATGGGTAACTAAACCTCATCTAGGGAGGTGATGAAGCCTCCCCTTTTGTTCATGTTCTAGATTAGGTTCTATTTTGGGGATTATAATGTATAAACTTTGGTCTTTTCATAGTTTAAGAGCTTATTACTTCTTGTAATGAATATTCATGTTTAAATGATTGATGTGAGTTATTTAGCTTGTCTTGATGATTCTTACATTAGTCTTATTGCTTTTATTTTCATAGTGACAATGAAGATATTAACTATGAATGGTTTTCAAGGCATGTTGATTTTGAAACTTGATATTCCATTGCTTAGGTACCTCCTTTGATGGATTATGCTTGATTCTTACCTTCATGTGCTTCATCATTTGATTGAATGCTTGATGGTCTTTTGCTTAAGTTAATGTATTTGATACTACACCCTAGTCTAGGTAGTCCAAATGTGTTGTCTTTTGATAGACCATTCTTGTTTTAATCTCATGAACTTCTTATTGGTTATGAAGCAACTATGTGTTGCTACATAATTCTTGATCATTGCTTATATAGTGTTTATCCCCAATTTAGTCTTGATTTAGCATGTATTTAGGGCGTAGGTGGATTCACTTCTCTAGTTTCCCCTTTTATTATCTCTAACTCTCATTTACTAACACTATTATTTTATGCACTTTGAATTCCTAGTTTAGTGACCATAAAACAAACCCTCTATGAACACCCCTTATCACTATAAAATGACTTTAGACACTTAGGTTGCCTTAAGACTAGCGCAGTCCCAGTGGTTCGACTTACCCGACCAATAGCCCTATTTTACAATGATTCGTGCTATTGCGAAGGTTGATGTATAGTTGATCAACCGATCAATTTTTGGCGCCGTTGCCGGGGACTGCAAACGGTTTAGCAACCAAAGTTTAGGGTTAAATTTAGTCTGATTGTGCATATTGTGTCTTGTGAATATTCCTTGTATGTTTTGATCATCTTCGTGTTGTAAGATTCTAGGGACTCGAAGCTCGCCGTGGGATTGCTAGCAAATTGTAAGTCTAGAGGACCCCAGGTAAGTCTCTTGACTTCTAGTTTCGCATTGTGAATATTGTGTATGTGTTTAATTTAGTTGTGAAGCCCTTGTCGAGGCTC